AGAGAGAGAGAGAGAGAGAGAGAGAGAGAGAGAGAGAGAGAGAGAGAGAGAGAGAGAGAGAGAGAGAGAGAGAGAGTTACCTGCTTGTCATTCAAGTTGTTGCTGGTGACCATAACCGCAGACCTTGAGAGAACTGTACTGTGTATATCCCTTTCAAGTCCTAACTAAGTTCTTTGTGTACTCATATCGTGTGGATCTTGCCGGTGTGACTTGGATCTTGAGTGGGATGCACACTCAAGATCCAAGTTTGGAGTAATAAAGGCGAGAAATCAAGATATTTTTCCGTATAAGTGGAAGTTCCGTGGAACCTTTTCGCGTCCATCTCCTCAGCATTTTGTAAGTGGGTAGTTGTTTGATTCCCTCCAATGCATCGCTTGATCATGCCAAGGTACTTCTTCTTTTTACTTTTTCTTTTTTCTTAAACCACCACTACCTTTCCCATACATCGGCCGCGGGCGAGGCCTCGCGAGTTTCGGAGGCCAGAAACACAACATAGGCCGCCGATGAAATTTTTGAACGGCAGCCGCTGTTGCCCCCCCCCCCCCGAAGAATGCGGTATAGGGCCGTAGGCTATATTTCCACTTTTCCCAACAGCGTGAAAGGTATTGGTGGTTTAACTAACACAAACCCCTTCTATTCTGGGGGCCACCAGTCCGGTTGCTTATCACTGGCAAGCGAGCATATAAACCAACAGGGAATAATACAGGATTTTATGTTATGTCTACGCCTCTGCCAAGCCCTCATGAGTAGCCGGGGACTGCCCAAAGTACCCAGTCCTTCCCAGCCAGTGTAATAATCGGCGGATCCATTTCGTTTGCTATGCTTTGACCGGGGTTATAGGATCGACTATTCCTACCGTCTTCCCCCGAACAGAACACACCGTGATAACGAATGTATACAAGCTATATTTTCGGTCCGATGCAGCCATAATGAGGGTCCATTGTGGTTGGGGGAACGAGACAGTCGACCTCCTCGTTGTTGTTGTTTTTTTCCTTCTGGGTCATGTATTTCCATGTGGATCATGTATACAAGCTATCTTTTCGGTCCAGTACAGCCAACATGACTTTGTCGATGAACTATCGTTTAGATGTGGCTGGTCATAAATTTGGAGAATTTTCTTCTACCCGAATCTACCGTCTATAAGTATGGTGTCCCTTTCTTTTTTGAGCTCTTTCATTGCTTCTTTCTGGGGTCCAGAAGGCTGATATGTACCTCATCATGGGGAGCACCCGATGCATTAATAACCAAGGCTCTGCCATAAAAAAGGGTGCGGCATAAACCTTGGATCATGCACCCAGTCTATCTATCATTTTCGTCAGCAAAGTTGAGCAAACTGGCTGCCATGGATTTGGTCGGCCCTCGGTCCATGTTTTCGTTCAGAATTCTGGACGGCCCTCGGTCCATGTTTTGGTTCAGAATTCTGGCCGGCCCTCGGTCCATGAAATGGTACAGAACTCCATAGCGTAGGAGGTAATTTTCAGGTCAACATCCACGTCTCCAACCCGTACAAAATATAACTTCGTGTGAAACAAAGCGATCCATTAGCAATACCATTTTTTCTATTCATTGTGGAAGCAAGGCCAACATTATGAATGAAGCTATTCTCTTCTTCGATCAATTTCGAAAAGTCTTACGGCCAAGTGAACTAAGATTTCTTTGTCCCCTTCTCCCCTTCTTCTTCTTCCTTCTTCCTCTTCCTCTCCTTCTTCCTCATCATCCTGTTATTCCTCTGCTCCTCTCCCCCTTCCTCCCCCTGCTTGTTCTTCTTCTTCTTCTTCTTCTTCTTCTTCTTCTTCTTCTTCTTCTTCTTCTTCTTCTTCTTCTTCTTCTTCTTCTTCTTCTCTCCTCTTCCTCCTCCTCCTCCTCCTCCTCCTACTCTCCCTCCACATTCTCCTCCTCGTGATAGTTCCCTCTTTCTAAGAAAGGAAAGGTGCATTCCATGTAACAACATCCAGTCACAATCAGAAGATAAAAATGACTGGTAGTCCATGATCTAAAGAATAACCAAATCGCCTTTGGAGCCCCGTGGATTAACTGGTTATCGAAGACCGAAGGCGCGCACAAGGGTTCCATGAGGATCCCAAACAGTTTGGTCACTGGCTAGGGCATGTTAGCGGCCATGTTTTTACGATTTAACAACCCATCACCTTCTCCTCTCCCTTTCCCTGCTCCACCTCCTCCTTCACATCCTCCTTCTTCTCCCCCCTCCCTCCCTCCCTTTTCCACCAGTTTCTCGTTGTCCCCACATCTTCGCGCTGCTGTTATCGCCACATCTGCATCTGTGGTTGTCGCAGTTAGAGGTGCAAATATTATTGTTCTTTCTTTTTCTTTTTTTTTTTCCTCGAAAAAGAACTGCCACATTTCTGAAGATCACCTTGCAAGTTTGGAAATGAGCTTGACAGTGAACTAGTGTCCATCTTGAGCCCAAGCCGGGTAATGGCCCCAGTGTTTTTCTGTCTTGTATTTCTGTGACCCTGGACCCAGTTTCCAGCAGGTGACACCCCCCCCCATTAATAGGCAGGAGCCACCGACAGGCGGATGCTCATATCACCCCCCGTAGCAGCGCCTGACAGTGTTAAAAAAAAAAAAAAAAAAAAAGAGGAAAAAAAGGTTGTTGGAACTGAACAAACTACGACAACATAAGAAACCAGCAACTGCATCTTGTTCGTGATGCTGCTTCGGTGTTAGCGATGCTTGATCAGCAGGAAGAGTCCGCACCTACCGCCGCCTCCCAGTAGAAAATGGCATTCTCAGCAAGGTCATCCTCAACGTCCTCCACATCCTTGCATGCCATTGTGAAATGGTATGCAATACTCACGAACATCGCTGAAGCACCTTTCGCTGCTAGTGATTGCGCAACATCCATGTGAATTAGCCGCCGTGTCTTGAATGGGAGCATGTCATAGGCAACCCTTTGTGTTACCTGGACAACATACCAAGATGTGATAAGCAAAATTAGGCAATTTAAAGTCAAATGTCACACACACACACACACACACACACACACACACACACACACACACACACACACATACCCAAAAAGAGAATATATATAGGCATATACACACACACACACACACACACACACATGCCCGAGAAGCGAATGTATATATATATATATGCATATACACACTCAAACATATACAGGCAATATTGGAAATAGACATACATACACAGGCACCTGCGTATGTATACATGGTGGCATATACATAAGTAATGATTGGCTGAGTATATATGCAGTTGGATGGAAGTAGCAGAACAAGTTGTTAATGTCCCCAAACCCACCCCGTGCACCCATTTGGTAATTGCCCCGCAGCCGGACACTGGAGAATGCAGAATTAGCATTGGGGCCATAAGTAACGGTGGTCCACCATCAAAGCCATTATTAATAAAAGACACCTAGAACAGAGCTAGGACCATCCCCCTGTTTGTAGGCTATCGGAGGGAGTCCAAATGAATTCTCAAGGAATCGATCCTCCCACTGGAGCTGAAGAAAGGCCTACACCAGCCTGGGACTACCAGTTTTTTCTGCTACTAATTGACCAAGGGCCATGATATGTGGTCCAGTTCTGATGGGATTTGATATTTTTCGGGATACAGTATCTCTGGCACCTAGTGCCCCACTGGTAAACCAAATTTTGAGCGGCTAGTTCTTGGCGCTCGGCACAAACCAAGGGAGGCTCAGAATCAAACGGCAATAGAAGGCCCCAAGGCTGGACCTACAGACAAAAGGAGACCCACTAAGTAAGGTGCTGCTTTGTTAGTCCCTCCGGGGTGTCGAACCCCCGCTGTCAACGAATAAACCAGCTGATAACATAAGAGGACTGACCGAAGCACTTGACAAGTGGTATTGCCAGCACTATCCCGAGTACATGACCCGGAGACTGGTTTTCCAAAAAAGTGAATGCACAAACCCAAAAAAAGCCGGTAGCAACAGGGACACTGTCGCGGGGTACCCTGCACGGCTATTTTTGAGATCGTAGCATCCCACCCACGTTTTTGCAAACGAGCCCTCTATCTACCCTCCTATATCTATTGCTGCATCTCGTCATTCTATGCATCTCGGTTTGCATATGCATTGTGCGATCTGGAGGCTTGCGTGAACTCTGACGTGGTTGGCTATGGCGGCACTTGACCTGGACGGCATCCTCTACGGGGACCTCGTGGAATCCCAGAGCGACGAGGAACCGGTATTATGCGCTTCCCGTTACTTACCTGCCTGTCTGTGAATGGAAGTGCTGGCTGCATGGAATGCTTGGTCGTGTTGTGTGTTGTGTATGCAGGCTATGAAATCCCTCTGATGAGCCGAATAGTGGCATTTGGCGAAAAACGTTTTAGGGCTTGCCACACCCTACCTGCTTCAACCCCAACGACCTGTTCCTACTACTTCCAAGACTGCCTGCCGAAGTGTTCTCATCAAGCCTCCTCGTACAATGTCGTCTTGTGATTCGAGCTGCCATCTCATCATACCTGCATCTATATTGTTCTGATAAAGGGATACGATCTGGCCATTGCCCCTGTTGTGGTTGACACTAATAAGTAACGTATTGGAGCGGCTAGGGTGCAGTAGGATCAGGATAGTCGTGCTTTCTGTTAATCTTTCTCTGAATAATGACGGATTGTGGAACTCTCCCCGATCGGACTTAATCCAGTAAGCATCGCTGCATATAATTAGTAAGTACCATTGGTAGTAAAGATACTTTGGTAATTTCTGACGGTTATCGGAATTCCTCCCTCAGTTATAGTGTCTTCTCTTTTATAAAAACATCCACGGTTATTTTCTGATCATGGCACGGGCATAGGAGTAGTCAGTGACATCATCCTTAGAAAGCTACCGTACGTGGGAACTTTTTTGTCACTATTCGGCCCTCTTCGTGAGGCATGTTGCAATGATTTTATCGAGATTTTCTCCTCTCCTCCCTCTTATGAACGGATGGATGAGCATTTTTTCAGTCCTCCTTCTCATCAGGGTTATGTATGAAGTTTGGAGTGCCTTCATGTCATTCTGATTGAGTATTGGAATTCTCCCTCGAAATTGTGTTAAGAACTGGTGTGATCACGTACTCTCTGTTGTTTCTTTTCCGAAGTACGAGGAGCCCTCTTTGACTTAACTCTATGATGATACATGGTTGGAAAAGCAACCACGGCATTGGATAATCATTGAAGTGATCATGATATGATGACCAGGACTCTACCCTCAGTAGGGGTGACATCTCCATTAATAGTGGTCACGGCTATTTTATCATTGGGTTTAATTCATGAGTAATAGGGTGGTGACTAGACAAATCGCTCATCATCATTTTTTGTCTCCACGAGTGAAGCATGAGCTAGAGTGTTGAGCGGGACGATTGGATTGCACCAAAAAGCTAGATAAAAAGGCTCTCTCTCTTCCCTCTCCCCTCCCTTCCGGATTTTCCTTTCTCCCTCTACATGATTCAATCAATGAACTGCGTGCTTTCAGATTACACGACTTGGGGTTGTGTAAGCAGTACGTTCGGTCGGCTCATGTGTTGCTGAGCTGAATCGAGTCTAGCGATTGGGCTCGTTTCCTGTCCTTTGGTTGTGACTGAATTCGCATCCTGCAAGTCGGCGTATGTATCTTGCTGAGTTAAGACTAGCGAATGGACTCGTTGCTATCGTTCGGTTGTGCCCGAGTTTGCACCCTGCGTTTCGGTGTGTGTATCTTGCTGAGCTGAGTTGTGACTAGCATTTGGGCGTGGTTGCTGTCTTTCGGTCGTCGGTATGAGTATCTTGTTGAATTGGGTTCTGTTTCGTTCCCTGAGTTGAGATTAGCGATTGGGCTCGCTGCTATCGTTCGGTTGTGCCCGAATTCGCACCCTGCGTTTCGGTGTGTGTATCTTGCTGAGCTGAGTTGTCTAGCGATTGGGCTCGTGTCTTGTCTTGCTGTTGTGACCGAATTCGCATCCTACATGTCGGTGTGTATCTTGCTGAACGGAGTTAAGACTAGCGATTGGGCTCGTTGCTATCGTCCGGTAGCTGAGTTGAGTCTAGCGATTGGGCTCGTTTCCTGTCTTTTGGTTGTGACCGAATTCGCATCCTGCTTGTCGGGGGGTGTATCTTGCTGAACTGAGTTAGGATTAGCGATTGGGCTCGCTGCTATCATTCGGTTGTGCCCGGGTTCCCCCCCTGCGTCTCGGTGCGTGCATCTTGCTGAGCTGAGCTGAGACTAGCGTTTGGGCGTGTTTGCTGTCCTTTGATCATCGGGACGAGTATCTAGTTGAACTGGGTTCTGTTTCGTTCCCTGAGTTGAGACTAGCGACTGAGCTTGTTTGTTTTCTTTCGTTGTGACTAAGTTTGCATCTTACGAGTCTGTGTGTGTCTCGTGCTGAACCAAGTCCCGTTTATGGACTATGCTAGAGGAACGAACGCTCCTCTCAGATGAAATGATTATAGCCATGATCGGCACCTGCACTACACACTATGATGTCTCTGATTGTCTAAAAAGCTACTCGCAAATTGGACACGGCCGATTCATATTATGTATCTCAAACACTCGATGAAATGATACACGGAACCGACAACCTTTACTCTTATACCTGATTGAATCTGACGTAATAGATTGGCCATCGGTACTCTCTAATTACTATCCTCAGTTGGGATGCTATGGACATCCTATTACACAACCGAGCAGCTCTCCTAGAGAAAATTACCTTATTGAGAAACGCATCGCATTACTGAATGAGGTCCTGATAAAAAGAGGGGATACCCCATCTATCAACCCTGATTTTCACTATGAAGCCCCATCTGGTAATGACTATAATGAAGTCAGGGAATGGGCAGCTTCGATCTTCTCGGAGATCTACAATGATCACCGCTCCTTGCTGAAGGAGTTCGAGGAATGCATACAGTTCATTAGAAACCATGAACGACAGACTGTGGATCAGCACATGAGAGCAAACATGGCACTCAGTGCAGAAATTAACAGACTCAATGATGACATCTATCGCAGCGTTGTACCTAGAGCGGACGTAGCCTCCCTCTTAATTAGGAAACTCCTTGTCATTCTGCTGCTACTCTCACTCTACGGTACCTTCATTATGATCATCACACAAGGGTCCATGGCCTAATTAGGATCCTTGTTCAGAACAGTGACATCGATTTTGAATGAATGTATGAATGGCCTTTCGAAGAAAAAGTGGGGACACGTTGCATCTGAACGAAGTGAAGGACAGAATGCTGGATAATGGGAGCTGCGTATAAGACCGGATGCAGCCTAAAAACCTGTGGCTTGAACAGTCGTACCGCAGCGTGCTGTGGGGTTTTTGGCATTTTGTGCCATGGGGTAACA